AATGGTGGCTCATGCCTGAATCCCAGAACTTTGGGAGGCTGAGGCAGGCAGATCACCTGAGGTCAGGAGTTCGAGACCAGCCTGGCCAACATGGTGAAATCCGTCTCTACTAAAAATACAAAAAGTAGGCTGGGTGCGGTGGCTCATGCCTGTAATCCCAACACTTTGGGAAGCCGAGGCGGGCGGGTGGATCATAAGGTCAGGAGATTGAGATCATCCTGGCTAACGTGGTGAAACCTCGTCTCTACTAAAAATACAAAAAATTAGCTGGGCGTGGTGGCGGGTGCCTGTAGTCCCAAGTTACTTGGAGGCTGAGGCAGGAGAATGGCATGAACCTGGGAGGCAAAAACAAAACAAAACAAAACAAAAAATACAAAAAATAGCCAGCGTGGTGGTCGGCACCTGTAGTTCCAGCTACTCGGGAGGCTGAGGCAGGAGAATCACTTGAACCTAGCAGGTGGAGGTTGCAGTGAGCCAAGATTGCACCACTGCACTCCAGCCTGGGTGATAAAGCAAGACTCCGTCTCAAAAAAAGAAAACATAATAAATAGACAACACTTGGTCAGGTGCAGTGGCTCACAACTGTAATCCTAGCACTTTGGGGAGGCCAAGGCAGGAGGATCACTTGAGCTCAGCCTGGGCAATACAGCAAGACCTCGTCTCTGTATTAAAATTAAAAAATAACAAACAAAAAAACCCACTTATTTCTAGTACTTTCTGGGAGGCTATTCCGAGTTAATTATGGTGATGCATTAATATGCCACGAATATTTGTACAAACTAGTCATCTTTTGGTCAATTGCCTAATTTTTGTGGGCTTTTTCTTTTGTTTTTGATTTTGAGGTGGGGTCTCTTTCTGTCACCCAGGTTGGAGTGCAGGGGCGCAATGTTGGCTCACTGCAATGCCCTCTCATGTTTAGGTGATTCTCCCACTTCAGCCTCCCAAGTAGCTGGAACCATAGACATGTCACCACACCCAGCTAATTTTTTGTATTTTGGTAAAGACAGTTTTGCCACATTGGCCAAGGTGGTCTTGAACTCCTGAGCTCAGGTGATCCGCCCTCCTTGGCCTCCCAAAGTGCTGGGATTACAGATGTGAGACACCACACCCGGCCTAATTTTTTTGGTTTTTTTGTTTTGGGCAGATCACCTGAGGTCACGAGTTCGAGACCAGCCTGGCCAACATGGTGAAACCCCATCTCTAGTAAAAATATAAAAATTAACTGGGCGTGGTGGTAGGCACCTGTAGTCCCACCTACTCGGGAGGCTGAGACGTGAGAATTGCCTGAACCTGGGAGGAAGAGGGTCCAGTGAGCTGAGATCATGCCACTACACTCCTACCTGAGTGACAGAGCAAGGCTCCATCTCCAAAAAAAAAAAAAAAAGTAATAACTCATTTTGGGAAATATAAAAAAGGAAACTAAAGTCACCCACATTTTGTCTATTTAAAGATAATCACTATTTTTTTTTCTTCTTTTCTTGAGACAGAGCTTCGTTCTTGTTGCCCAGGCTGGAGTGCAATGGCACGATTTTGGCTCACTGCAACCTCTGCCTCCTGGCTTCAAGTGATTCTCCTGCCTCAGCCTCCCAAGTAGGTGGGATTTCAGGCATGTGCCACCACGCCCAGCTAATTTTGTATTTTTTTTTTTTTTTCAGTAGAGATGGGGTTTCTCCAAGTTGGTCAGGCTGGTCTTGAACTCCCGACCTCAGGAGATCCGCCCGCCTCAGCCTCCCAAAGTGCTGGGGTTACAGGCGTGAGCCACCGCAACTGGCCGATATGAAAAACATTCTTCTAAAGTACTGTACCGATAGGATATTTTATTAAGTGAGTGAGTTTTTTTCCTAAATGTTTTTGTTCTATCTGGTCTTGTGACTTTATGTTTATAAAATAGGCAACAAAATGTGTACCTCTGTTGTTACAAAAATTACCAAGCGGTCTTTTATATTTCACATGCAGTTTTTCACATGGTGGAAATCACACCATTTCCCAAAAGCTGGCAGGGTTGTGGTTGGAGGCGGCTGTGCCCCTCTCTGTGTCATTGCTGTGACACCAGGGGACCCTTCCCACGGTGCTGCTTTCTGTGCCGAGGGTCTGAGTGTTGCTGGATGACTTGGCAGTTCCTTTCTTTCTTAGGGCATGGATTTCATTGGTCGTGATGCCCTCCTGCTGCAGAAGCAGAATGGAGTGTATAAACGCCTCACCATGTTCATCCTGGACGACTATGACACAGACCTAGACCTTTGGCCTTGGTGGGGAGAGCCCATTTACCGGAATGGGCAGTACGTTGGCAAGACCACCAGCAGTGCCTACAGCTACAGCCTCGAGCGCCACGTTTGTCTGGGCTTTGTGCACAATTTTTCCGAGGACACGGGGGAAGAGCAGGTGGTGACAGCGGATTTCATCAACCGGGGAGAGTATGAGATTGACATCGCGGGATACCGCTTCCAGGCCAAGGCCAAGCTCTACCCCGTCGCCTCCCTCTTCACCCAGAAGCGCCGAAAGGATGACATGGAGCTGAGTGACTTACATGGGAAGTGATGCCAGGGCAGCCTCACCTTCTCCCCATCATCTTGTTCTGGAGCGGGCGTCACCTTGGAGCTTTTCTTCCTTCTGCCTCCGTTCCTCTTATGGAGCTTTTGCCTCCCGTCTTTCATCTCCTTGATATAATTTTGAACTTGACCTACTTTAAAAATTTTTGCTCTGCAGCCTTCCTTGTCCTTCCACCTCCTCCTCCTAATATTCACTCTGGACTCTTTTTCCCTTCCCACCCCCACTCAGCTTTCATGGTGGCAGGAGGTGTGTCTGACAGGCAGGACAGAAACAAGCTCCACTGTGGACATGAGTGACGGTGACAGCTGCTTTCAAATTCTGCATCTCAAAGCAGAGCAAGCTGGGGTGGTGCAGGCCTCGGGGCACGAGTCCCTCTCCCTTGGGTTCCATTTTCTTGGAGCAGCCTATTAATTCTGCTGGGGTTGCCGTGTGTCGGATGCAGCCCTGAGGGGCAGCTCGTTCTCCTGTTCCGCTGTGCTGTGGGCTGGCACTCGATACCTCTGGCAAGAGGATGATCATCTACCTCACTGATGAGAGGCATCGCACAGACGTTCTCTGGTCTGTAGTGGAGATAAGCAGTTAACCAGGCACCACCCTCATCCTCCCTGCAGAAGCTGTTAGCAGACCTTTGGGCCCGGGCAGCCTCCCTATAATTTTCTTCATCTCTTGCTGATCTCTATAATAAGGTTGCTTTTTCTTTCTTAGTTGAGTAAGCAAGTAAGCCACAGTGGTTGAAAGGGAAAAACCATGTTGCCTTGTGTGTTGCTTTTCCTAGTCAAAAGGGTCTGACCTCAGAATGTCCCCGCCGCAGTGACGCTGCGTGGTCTGCTGTGGAAACGATGCTGCTTTTCTCTCAGCTGTCCAAAGTTCAGCCGTCCCTCCCTCCTCTTCTCCCAGTGTGCCTGACTTTGTCAGGTCAGCCTCACCGGTCCCCTTCACAGTTGGCCCATAAAGTCATGTTTCTCTCCTTTTAGAACAGGGAGGGAAAGGGATCAGGTGTGTTGTCCTGGGCCCTTCAACCTTGTGGGCCGTGCTGAGTTCCAGAGAGCTGCCAGAATTCTGGGTTTGACTCTCCAGCACAGAGCAGAGCTCCGCAGAGGTGACCCACATTAGTCCACGGAGAGTTCTGAGTCCAAGGGTTGTACGTTGCATAAGGCTAGAAACTGCTTTTCCTCCTTTCACCCCAGGCTCTTTGTTTCCCTCCACCCACCCTTCCATATCCTCTGGAAGACGACGTGCGTGCCCAGGAGTGCCGTGCACTTTCAGGCAGTGTCTCTTTTCCCAAGGTGAAACTTAGATATCAGCAGTCCAGCCTCAACACTTCATTTTCCCCTTGCATATCAACTGCCCTAATCTGACTTTTTTTAAGTACAAACAAACTGCTATAAAACATTTTGGTTAGCTAAACTCTAACCTTTGGTGTATTGGTATCTTGGAAGCATTAGCTCTGTTAGGTCTATAAGTGTATTAAGGGAGATCCTTCCATTTCATTAGAGCAGCTTAAAATGCTCAGGTGTCTGCCTTCTCTGGTGTTTCTTTGGGATCTCTGTTTACCCACTTAGGCTGGCTCCTTCTAGGCATTTCTTGCCATTTCCCCAACTAGACCACTCCTAGTGATTACTGACTTTAGTGTCCACCTTTTTGGACAGTTCTAGTTGGCTTATTAAAGGAGCATATGATGAGAATTCTGTTTGGGGGTCTAGTTGTCTTAGAGCAGGTGTGTACTTAACTAGCCGAGAGATGCTGCCTCTAGGCAGAGAGGAGGAGAGGAGGAAAGGTGTTGCCGGCTGGAGGGTGGACCAGTGAACAGCAGCTGTGAGTGCCTTGGGAGAGGAGGAACAGGCCCTTGGGCATATGCAGGCGTTACCAGCAGGGAGCAGACTTACCTCCGAAGATGGAGACGGCTGACTGGGAGCTGCAGGCCTCCCCTGCTCTTCCAGACACGTAGCATTTGCACCCCTCCAAAGCCATCTTTGTAAAGGAAAATGTATTTGTAATTGAATCCAGAATTTAGTTACACATAGACATAACTCTTCAAACTTAACTTTGGCAATACATTTGTGCTTTAACTGTTACATAGCAGTATCACCACTTACCAGGATCCAAATCGAAAGAATAAAAGCTGTCTCCGTAGTTTAAAATTGAATAGTGCCATCATCACAGTATATTAGTCAAATAGAAGCTTCATCAGAAGTGTGTCCCACATAGAGTTTTAAGACTTGGATTCTCGGCCGGGCACGGTGGCTCACGCTTGTAATCCCAGCGCTTTGGGAGGCCGAGGCGGGCGGATCACGAGGTCAGGAGATCAAGACCACGGTGAAACCCCGTCTCTTACTAAAAATACAAAAAATTAGCCGGGCGCCGTGGCGGGCGCCTGTAGTCCCCGCTACTCAGGAGGCTGAGGCAGGAGAATGGTGTGAACCCGGGAGGCGGAGCTTGCAATGAGCGGAGGTCGAGATGGCGCCACTGCACTCCAGCCTGGGCTACAGAGCAAGACTCTGTCTCAAAAAAAAAAAAAAAGACTTGGATTCTCTTCTGCCCTTGTTAATCTCCAACTAATTACTAGAGATTGACATGTTTTTAATTAGCTGTCCTTTCTAAGAAGTCAGGAAATCTGATGCTGTGTCCAAAATTATGCACTGTTTGTTGAACTAGAACCCTGGCCTCCTGTTAAATGATGTCCGTTTCCCCCTCTGAGCAACAGAGTGCTTGTCTTGCTAGGAGAGGAGTATGGAGGGGTGAGCACTCAGGCTGTCAGTTGAAACACCTTGTCCGTGAATAGGGTCATACTCCTAAGACTGACGGGATGTTGATCTTCTAGGACATCACTTGTTTATTGAGTGCCCCAAACATACAGATGTGTAGCACTTTAGAGTTCATCCTTGAAGTCTCTCCTGGTTCATTCAAATATAGGCTGTGTGAGTCTGGTGGCTTTCTGTAATTGGTCTAATGTGAGCTCTTCGAACAGACAGATCTGACAGTGAATGACTCCCCTGCTTCTGGCATAATTGCTTTGCCTCTGTCTAGTGTCCAAGCCTCTTAGCTGGTCAAGAGGAGAGGGCAGCATAACTTCCTGACCATCGGTGTCAGACGTCGGAGCATTCTGGACTCCTGAGAGGCTGTGGCCTCTTGAGTGAACGGAGGGGGCTAGTAGATGCCCCAGATGCAGAGCCGTGGCTGCAAATCCAGCAGGAATAAGGAGGGACAACCACAGCGTCCTCATCTGTGTGTCATTTCCAAGGGTTTGCCTTGTGTCTCAGCTCATTCCGGGGAGCCTGTTTGTCTTCTCTCCCTAGAGATTTGAAGGATTCTGGACTCTTGTACTTGGCTGTACTTGTACGTGACTGTACTTGGCTTTATGGAGTTGGGTGCTTTTTTCTCTCTGCAATTACCTGTCATAGCATTTTGTGCTCACCATGGAGGACGGTCTCTGCCTTCTCTTGTCAGTGTATGCCGTCCGAACCTAGGAACACAACGTGTATTGGCATAAACAGATGGAGACCCAGGGTTGAGGGTTGCCAGTTTTCCGTGGGCCTTCCCCTCCCTTGAAATGCCCTTAGTTACCTCCACTTCATTGTCAGACCACGTGTGACTTCTTTTCTTAGCACTGCCAGGGTCATTGACTTCCATCTAAGCTTGCATCAGGAAGATGTTCCTTCTGTGATCGTTGGTACTGAAGCCAGAAAATCTCTCATTCAGGAACTCTGAGGAGCAAAAAGGGACAAACACTAACTGCTAAGCTGGGCCATTTGATCTCCTTTCACCTTGCATTGCTGTCACAGCACCTCAAATGAGGGCAGGACAGGCTCCAGCAGAGAGAACTGCACAATGATCAGTGTATTTTTCACGGTTTTCCAGGGATCCCTGTCCCCCCACATTCAAGAGATCTCATTCAGGCCAGAGACACAGAGACCACATTGCCCAGTGATTAAACCCCGGTTTCACTCTGGCCCCAGGAGTAGAGCCTGGCCACTCCTGTTTGGTTCTCACTGGGAGGCACACTGGCCCTGGATCGTCTCCTCATGCACAGCCGGAGTTTTACCTGTTTGCTTGCTTTCCTGGACTGGTGTTTCCAAGAAAGTAACTAAAGTGTATGAAAAGTAAACCTCCAGCTTCCAGAGTATATTACCTGCCTTTGCATGTATTTGAAATTTAGCGTCCTCCCTCGCCACCATCTTGGTGGCAGTAGCGGTGCAAGAATGATGGGAGCTTTCCAAGAGCGTTGAGTGCTTCGCTGAAGACAGGAAGCACTCAACCTGTAGCCTTCATTTCTGGCTCTGCTTCTCCTCTGGTGTAGGGACACATTTCCTGGCATTTGGCTGAGTCTACACCACTTTTTGAGAACCTGAAATAGAAGGGAATCTTCTGTGACCCGCAGTTTCCATATTGGCCCTAGAATACTGGCCTGGTGGAGGAATTTGCATTGGCTTGGTTTCAGGGGTTAGCTACAAGGGTCAGTTTTATGTCTCTCTTGCTTCGCCAGTGTGGTCAATCAGGGTCTTCTTTAACATCTAAGATAGGGACTTGGTTGGCCGGGTGTGTTCGCTCACTCCTGTAATCCCAGCACTTTGGGAGGCCCAGCAAGGTGGGAGAATTGCTTGAACCCAGGAGGCAGAGATTGCAGTGAGCCAAGATTGCACCACTGCACTCCAGCCTGGGTAACAGAGTGAGACTCTGTCTCAAAAAAAAAAAAAAAAAAAAAAAAAAATCTAAGATAGAGGTTTGGTCAACAGTGGTTAATAATAAATAACAACCTCCTGCCATTCTAATTTTCCTGCTGCACCCCATCCCCCAAACACCCATCACAAACATTGATATAAGCAGTATTAGCACAGTATAAAGAATGTTCACCTTGCACATGTCATTTCAGGCACATGGATTCAGGAGAAGCACAGTTGAGTGGAAGAAATGGTAGATGTGTGAGGCTTGCCCCAGGCCCTGTGTACACACAGTAAGTGGTGCCCATGGGTCTCCGTCAGCACCTCCTCCCCGCCACCATTTCGGGCCAACACTTCAAGGTGCTGAGTTGTAAGGCTCCCCCATTGTCAATACCGGGCTCGTCTTTGCAGCCCTGATCACTACCAGTACACTCTTTTTCAAGATAACTGAGTATTTTTGTATGCCTTTGCCTCCCCTTTGTCCATAAAACATCAAGAGTTGTTTGTGATTCTTGACTTCTCCGAGCAGAGTGTCTGCATCTCTTGGAGAGTTACACATTTCTTCATGGGCCATTTTTCTCATTCTTAGATGCACCTGTTTTTATCCTTTCAAACCATCTTCTGCCTTCTTGTTTTCCTGTCAAAGACAGAAATTACAGGAGATAGGGAGGATTTTTTAGCATCTCTTTCAAAAGATCTATGTCAGAATTTCCTTTGCACACCAAGAACTGGAGCTTAGAGCCCTGCTATTCTCTAAGCCAGGTTCTAGTGCCTTACACTCCAGAATGTCAGATGGTGGGTGCAGATCGGAAGAAAGAGAAAAGTTCATCTCAGCGTGTGGGTTCCCATCCGCCCCACATAGCCTCTCCTTCCTCAGAACAATGGGCGTGGGCTAGAAAGCTCTTTCAGTGAAGGGTTTTCTAGCAGCTCAGTTAACACTTTACTCTCTGGTCAACACTTGGGATGTATAAAAATGCCATTGTAATTACTGTAGAGTCCTGTGACTCATCGTTTGTGTTTGTCAATGTGCAGTTCAGCTTAGCTCTTCTCTGTTCCTGTGTAGTTACAATGTGGCCCTGAAGACATCCGAGGCACTTCAGTAAGTGGGATCTTTTCTAGAGATCCTTGGTGACTTTGGGTGCACAGGGTGACCGAGCATTTCTGCCCCTGTGAATGTGGCACTAACACTGTGCACTGTCTCCACCAAGCAAGGTTTTCACTGAGTTTCTTCTGACGTTACTAGGTTTGTAAATGAATAAACAGACATTTTAACTACTCTTGCACGGCTGCTTGTGAAATGTTCTTCATCTGTAGCGACTTAAACGTGCTTGCTACCAGAAAGCATAAACAGTGTGCAGAGGAGTGTGTGTGCCTCCCTGTGTTACCACAGTGTAAGGAAAGATTTGTGAATGGGGGTAGGGAAGATGCAGGTGTTTATCTTACCCTCCCTGCAACGCTGGAGTGACTGGGGGGGAAAGTTTCCCGACTCCTCCTGAAGTTCCGACCGGCCATCTGCCTACAGCTGACCTCATAGGAGGAACTTGCCACCTGACGTTCCATGCGGGCATGTGTGCGCTCAGGTTTGTGTGGAAAGCAAGAGGGGTCGGGTTCTCACACTGTGGAAACGACACTGAGAGAAACAGCCAGTGCTCGCTTTCTACACCAGCTTCCATCCACACGTTAGTCGCTGGGCTTGACCTGTTCAACTAATTTTTTTTTTTTTTTTTGAAACAGAGTCTTGCTTTGTTGCCCAGTTTGGAGTGCAGTGGTGTGATCTCGGCTCACTGCAACCTCCACTCCCAGGTTCAAGTGATTCTCCTGCCTCAGCCTCCAGAGTAGCTGGGATTACAGGCACGCGCCACCATGCCCAGCTAATTTTTGTATTTTTGTAGAGACGGGGTGTCGCCATGTTGGCCAGGCTGGTCTCAAACTCCTGACCTCAAGTGATCCACCTGCCTTGGCCTTCCAAAGTGCTGGGATTACAGGCGTGAGCCACTGCGCCTGGCCCCTCCTGTCTTTCAAAAGCTCAGCCCAGAGACAACCATCATCCCACAGTGGAGCCTTTGCTTCCCCAAGAGAATGGCCCCCTTTGGGGTCCTCACACACCCGTTTCTGGTGTGTCTTTATTTGGTTCTCTGCCCTGCTGGTTCTGTAAGTCTCGAATTCTCTGAGAAGGACTCGAATTCTCCCAAACTCCAACACCTCACGTTGTGTTTGGTGTTTAACAGATAATTAAATGAATGGGCAAAAAGTGGAGGGCAAAATCATTAAAATGTCTTTTAAGATTTAAGGATTTTAGGCCGAGCGCCGTGTCACCAGGCTGGAGTGCAATGGCACGATCTTGGCTCACTGCAACCTCTGACTCCCTGGTTCAAGGGATTCTCCCGCCTCAGCCTCCCAAGTAGCTGGGATTACAGGTACACGCCACCATGCCCAGCTAATTTTTTGTATTTTTAGTAGACATGGGGTTTCACCATGTTGGCCAGGATGGTCTCTATCTCCTGACCTCATGATCTGCCCACCTCAGTCTCCCAAAGTGCTGGGATTACAGGCGTGAGCTACCGCTCCTGGCCTGGAATTTTTTACATGATTGTTTACTAACTTTACAACAGGAGGATGTTGTTGTTCGCTGGCCAGTAGGTGGCGCTGTGGCACGTGATTTGAGCCTCCTGGATTCACACGGCTGTTTACATGGAGCGCCCAGTGCCGGGACCATTAGCACCCCGGTCAGGCTATGCATCTCCCTCCCAAGGGTGCTCACCCAGTGTGGCCTCCATGGCACAGGGGGACTGAGATGAGGCTCCTTTAGTACACCCTCCCTTGAGAAGAGCAATGTATGCTTACCCTCCAGTGGCTTGTTCTCATGAAATACTCCACAGTTAGGGACCTTAAGATGCTTAGGTCTGAGGTGTCACCTGACTGAAGCCCCTCAGAATCCCAGACTGTTGTGGTGGGTCAAGGGCATGGGGCTTTGGGTTTACTGACCTGGGCCTGAATGCCAGCATTGCCTCTTCCTTGGTGTATGACCTTGGGTGGTTGCCTTTCCTAGGCCTCTGTTTACTTGTTTTAAAATGGACAGTGATGCCTACTTTATAGGGTTGTTATGAAACTCAACTAATGAATATAAAATACTTGACCCAGACTGGTATGGTGGTTCACAGCCTGTAATCCCAACACTGGGAAGCCAAGGCAGGAGAATCACTTGAGCCCAGGAGTTCAAGACCAGCCTGGGCAACTTAGGGAGACCCAGTCTCTACCAAAAATCAAAAAATTAGCCAGGTAGAGTGGTGCGTGCCTGTAGTCCCAGTTACCCAGGAGGCTGAGGTTAAAGGATTGCTTCAGCCCAGAAGCTCAAGACTGCAATGAGCCGTGATCGTGCCACCACACTCCAGCCTGGGCGACAGATCAAGGCCCTGTCTCAAAAAATAAATTAGGCCGGGCGCAGTGGCTCACGCCTGTAATCCCAGCACTTTGGGAGGCCGAGGCGGGAGGATTACGAGGTCAGAAGATCGAGACCACCCTGGCTAACACGGTGAAACCCCGTCTCTACTAAAAATACAAAAAATTAGCCGGGTGTGCTGGCGGGCGCCAGTAGTCCCAGCTACTCGGGAGGCTGTGGCAGGAGAATGGCGTGAACCCAGGAGGCGGAGCTTGCAGTGAGCCGAGATTGCGCCTCTGCACTCCAGTCTGGGTGACAGAGCGAGACTCCGTGCCCCCTCCCAAAAAAAATAAAAATAAAAATAAAAAATTAATAGGCCGGGCGCAGTGGCTCACACCTGTATCCCAGCACTTTGGGAGGTCGAGGCAGAGGAATTGCTTGAGCCCAGGAGTTCAAGACCAGCCCGAGCAACTTAGGGAGACCCCATCTTTACCAAAAATCAAAAAATTAGCCAGGTAGAGTGGTGTGTGCCTGTAGTCCCAATTACCCAGGAGGCTGAGGTGAAGGGATTGCTTCAGCCCAGAAGTTCAAGACTGCAGTGAGCCGTGATCGTGCCACCGCACTCCAGCCTGGATGACAGATCAAGGCCCTGTCTCAAAAAATATAATACTTGACCCATTGCAAGATCTTTCCATGCACGACAGTTGTTCTTCTATTACTCTTCCAGGATGAATTGCACGGCCTGCTCCCTTGGGTTTCCAGGTCGCGGGAGATGAGCAAAACTGAATGACCTCAGTAGGCCAAGAGCAAAGGACGTGGGTCCAGACCTGGTGGCCAGTTGCTTGTGATGGGAGCTGGGCTGGAGTCCCCAAGTGCCACTAGTACTGACATCTTTTAACTATGTTCATTGTGACTTGTTTATTTATAAAAGTAACCACTGCGCCTTGGTGTGGACTGAACTCTGAACTCCAGATGCATGCGGTGAGTTAACCATGGTCTGGGGAGCTCTGTTTCCATGCCCAGGACATGCATCTGTGAGCATCATATGTGAGCAGATATAGCCATGCCTCTGGTGATTTGAACGCCTGCGCTTTCCAGCTGCTTCAGGGCCCTGAACATCGATGGATGTTTGTACTTCATTCCCTCCTCAGCCCAGCTGGTCCCACTCCGCGACTGTGCTCTAGGCATTTCATCTCAACTGGGTGACATACTTGAATACAGCAATTATGAGAACAGCAACCTCAGAAGAACATCTGGCATCCAGACCTCGCCAGCCTATTTACACAAGGTACCAACTTCTGTAAGCCTTGAAAAGCTAAGTCATCCAGGCTGGGTGCAGTGGCACACTCCTGTAATCCCAGCATTTTTTGGAAGGCCGAGGCAGGCAGATCACTTGAGGTCAGGAGTTCAAGACCAGTCTGGCCAACATGGCGAAACCCCATCTGTACTAAAAATACAAAAATTAGCCGGGTGTGGTAGCGCATGTCTATAATCCCAGCTACTTGAGAGGCTGAAGCAGGAGAATCGCTTGAACCCGGGAGGCGGAGGTTGCAGTGAGCCGAGACCGCACTACTGCACTCCAGCCTGGGCAACAGATCCCCTTGGTATAGATACAGGGAGCTTGGGTGGTCTCATCACAGCAGAACCTCAGCTCTTGGCATGTTCTTTCCTTTGCTACCAGCTTTTGAAACTGAAGTGTAGCAGAGTCATGAACCAGACTCTGAAACATGAACCAGGGAAACATTTTAAGAAGTAGCGGCTGACCAGGAGTTGGAGGTTGCAGTGAACTATGGTTGCACCTGTGAATAGCCACTGCACTCCACCATGGGCAACATAGTGAGACCCCTATCTTTAAAAAAAAAAAAAAGGCCAGGCATGGTGGCTTAAGCCTGTAATCCCAGCACTTTGGGAGGCCAAGGCAGGCGGATCACAGGGTCAGGAGATCAAGACCATCCTGGCTAACACCGTGAAACCCCATCTCTACTAAAAATACAAAAAATTAGCCAGGCGTGATGGCAGGCGCCTGTAGTCCCAGCCACTCGGGAGGCTGAGGCAAGAGAATGGTGTGAACCCGGGAGGTGGAGCTTGCAGTGAGCCGAGATGGCACCACTGCACTCCAGCCTGGGCGACAGAGCGAGACTCTGTTTCAAAAACAAGAAAAAAGAAAAAAAAGAAAATGGCCAGGCACAGTGGCTTACAACTGTAATATCAGTGCTTTGGGAGGCCAAGGCAGGAGGATCACTTGAGCCCGGGAATTTTAGACCAGCCTAGACAACATGGCAAGACCCCGTCTCTACCAAAAATACAAAAAATTAGCTGAGCATGCCGTTGCATGCCCATAGTCCCAACTACCCAGGAGGCTGAGGTGGGAGGATCACCTGAACCCCAGAGCTTTTTTTTTTTTTCCAGACAGGGTCTCACTCTGTCACCCAGGCTGAGTGAGCCCCTGTCTGGAAAAAAAAAAAAAAAGCAGCTGGGTATGGTGGCAGGTGCCTGTAGTCCTACCTGCTCAGGAGGCTGAGGCATGAGGATGGCTTGAGCTCAGGAGTTCGAGGTTACTCTGAGCAATGATGGTGCCACTGCACTCCAGCCTGGGTGACAAAGCAAGACCCTCAAATAAAACAAAATAATTGGCCATAAATGTAAGAGTTTTTTTGTATATTGTTCATTCTGTTCCCTTGATCTATATGTCTATCCTTTTTCCATATCTTATAGATGTGATTACTAGAAGTTTCATAGCAAGTTTTGAAATCAGGTAGTATACATTCTCCAATTTTATTCTTTTTCAGATGTGTTTTGGTTATTCTAATTCCTTTGCGTTTCCATGCAAATTTTAAGATCCAATTTTAAGATTCAATTTTAAGATCCAATTTGAGATGGATCTTGCTATATTGCCCAGGCTGGTCTCAAACTCCTGGGCTCAAGGGATCCTCCTGCCTCAGCCTCCCAAATAGCTGGGATTACAGGCACATGCTACCACACCTGGCCTCTCAACTGCTTTAAAATAAACACAACAATGAAAATCTTTTGGAAGTTTGATGGGCATTGCATTGAATTAATAGACAAATTTGGGGAGAATTACCATTCATCTATACCGTGAAATCTGTCTCTACTAAAAATACAAGAATTGGCCAGGTGTGGTGACTCATGCCTAATAATCTCAGCACTTTGGGAGGCCAAGGTGTGCGGCTCATTTGAGGTCAGGAGTTCAAGACCTGCCTGGCCAACATGGTGAGACCCTGCCTCTACTAAAAATATAAAAATTAGCCGGGTGTGGTGGCAGGCGCCTGTGAGCCAAGCTACTTGGGAGGCTGAGGCAGGATAATCACTTAAACCCGGGAGGTGGAGGTTGCAGTAGGAAGAGATCACGCCACTGCACTCCAGCCTGGATGACAGAGCAAGACTCAGTCTCAAAAAACAACAAAACAATATTGAGTCTTCTATTCCATGAATGTGAAATGTCTATGCATTTTTTTAGATCTTTAGTTTCTCTCAGCAATGTTTTACAGTTTTATATGTATGGATTTTTTTTTTTTTTTTTTGAGAATGAGTCTCATTCTATCGCCTAGTCTGCAGTGCAGTGGTGCAATCTTGGCTCACTGTAACCTCCACCTCCCGGGTTCAAGCAATTCTCCTGCCTCAGCCTCCTGAGTAGCTGGGATTACAGTTGCCCTCCACCACGCCTGGCTAATTTTTTGTGTTTTTAGTAGAGATGAGGTTTCACCATGTTGACCAGGATGGTCTTGAACTCCTGACCCAAGCAGTCCATCCACCTCGGTCTCCCAAAGTGCTGGGATTACAGATGTCACCCACTGTGCCTGGCCATGTGTGGAACTGTTTTCTCAATTTCATTTTTGGATTGTTTATTGCCAGTTTATAGAAATGCAGTGAATTTTGGTGTGTTAATTTTGTATTGTGAGACCTTTATTCTAGTAGGGTTTTTTTTTTTTAAACATTCCGTCGGATTTTCTACAGTAGAATTATATCATCTGCAAATGAAGATAGTTTTACTTCTTTCTTTTCAGTATGGATGCCTTTAATGTCTTTTTGTTAATTAATGCACACATTGCACATTCAGTAGTACAATGTTTAGTGGGACCGGTGAGGAAAGACATCCTTGCCTTGTTTTGATCTTAGGGAGGAAAGTCTTTGGTCTCACTGTTAAGTGTGATATCAGCTGTACGTTTTTCATAAGGGCTGTGTTCATTTGCTAGGGTTGTCATACAAGGTACCACACGCTGGGTGGCTTAAAAAACAGAATGTATTTTCTCAGGAGGCATAAAGGCCAAGATCAAGGTGCGGGGGGGTTTGTTTCCTCTGAGGATCTCTCTCCTTGGCTTGTCTGCAGCTGCCTTCTCCCTGTGTCTTCACGGGACCTTCCCTCTGTGTGTCTCTTCTTATAACGGGACCAGTCAGGTTGGATCGGGACCCACCCCAATGACCTCATTTAACTTTAACTACCTCTTTAAAGACCCTATCTCTAAATACAGTGACACGGAGGCAATGGAGTTAGAACTTCAACATACTAATTTGGGGCTGGGTGTGGTGGCTCACGCCTGTAATCCCAGCAGATAGCTTGAACTTTGAGACCAGCCTGGGCAACATGGTGAAGCCCATCTCTACTAAAAATACAAAAATTACCTGGGTCTTGGGAGGCCGAGACGAGAGGATCACGAGGTCACGAGATCAAGACCATCCTGGCTAACACGGTGAAACCCCGTCTCTACTAAAAATACAAAAAATTAGTCGGGTGCAGTGGCGGGCGCCTGTAGTCCCAGCTACTCGGGAGGCTGAGGCAGGAGAATGGCGTGATTCTGGGAGGCGGAGCTTGCAGTGAGCCGAGATGGCGCCACTGCACTCCAGCCTGGGTGACAGAGCAAGTCTCCGTCTCAAAAAAAAAAAAAAAAAAAAAAATTACCTGGGCCTGGTGGCGCACACCCACAGTCCAGCTACTCAGGAGGCTGAGGTAGGAAGATGGCTTGAGCCTGGGATGTGGAGGTCAAACCCCAGAAGCAGAGGTCACAGTAAACCGATATTGTGCCACTGCACTCCCTCTTCTTCTTTTCTTGGGCAACAGAACCAGACTTCATCTCGAGAAAAATTAAAAAATTAAATTGACATGAATTTTTTTTTTTTTTTTTTTAGAGTCTCATTCTGTTGCCCAGGCTGGAGTGCAGTGGTGTGATCTCAGCTCACTGCAACCTCTGTCTCCTGGGCTTAAGTGATTCTCATACCTCAGCCTCCCAAGTAGCTGGGGTTACAGGTGTGTGCCACCATACCCAGCTAATTTTTGTATTTTTACTAGAGACAGGATTTTGCCATGTTGGCCAGGCCGGTCTCAAACTCCTGACCTCAGGTGATCTGCCCACCTCGGCCTCCCAAAGTGCTGGTACTACTGTCGTGAGCCACTGCACCTGGCCTAATTTTTTTTTTTTTTTTCTTGAGACAGAATCTTGGTCTGTTACCCAGGCTGGTGTGTAGTGGCATGATCACAGTTCACTGCAGCCTTGACCTCCCCGGCTCAGGCTATCCTCCCACCTCAGCCTCCCAGGTAGGTGGGACTATGGACACATGCTACCACGCCCAGCTAATTTTTTGTATTTTTTTTAGAGTCAGGGTTTCACCATGCTGCCCAGGCTGGTCTCAAACTCCTGAGCTCAAGCAGTCCACCCACCTTGGCCTCCCAAAGTGCTGGGATTATAGGTGTGAGCTACTATGTCTGGCCTGGACATATAATTTTTAGAAGAAAATGTGGCCACAACTCTCCTAGAGTTGAATGGTTTTTTGTTTTGTTTTGTTTCGTGTTTTTTGTTTGTTTGTTTGTTTGTTTTGTTTTTGGAGACCATCAACAAGATTTCAAGGCTTTAAAGAAAGGAGCTGCTTCAGGAAGAGACAAAATGACTTGACCGCTATAACCTTCAAGTGCAGACTGGGCGAAGAGGTATCAACTGTACATGAGCTGGAGAGGGGCGGGATAGATAGAGACACAGGTGATAAAGAAAATATAGCAAAATGTGAAATCCTGCAGTCTGGGTGGCGGATGTAAACCCTGTAATAGCCTCACCTGGGGAAAGTTGCCTTGCAAGAACGAGGCTGCCCATTCTCCAGACCCACCCCGGCCACCAAGCAGGCTGCAGTAAAAAGTCTGGGCCCAGGAGGATGTACCTCGGAAACCAAGTTGCGATGCCCTGGTTAGGGGCCCAGCAGAGGGGTCATCCTAGCTCTACACCATTGGATACTGAGTTTCAGGAGTGGGAGTGCCATCCTCAGGGTCACACAGCGTGTCGGTTCCAGCCTAGGCCTTCCAGTGTCTCATTAATCTTTTATCCACTCAGCTTCTCTTCTGGCTCATGAACCTTGCTCTCCTGGGACTCTTTTTTTTTTTGAGGGGTTGGGGGTGGGACAGAGTCTCGCTCTGTCGCCCAGGATGGAGTACAGTGGTGCCATATTGATTCACTGCAACCTCCGCCTCCCAGATTCGAGCAATTCTCTTGCCTCAGCCTCCCGAGTAGCTGGGACTACAGCTAAACCACCCTGTCCGGCTAATTTTTGTATTTTTACTAGAGACAGGGTTTCACCATGTTGGCCAGGCTGGTCTCGAGCTCCTGACCTCAAGTGATCTGCTTGCCTTGGCCTCCCAAAGTTCTGGGATTACAGGCATGAGCCACCGTGCCCGGCCTGGGACTCTTCTTGCAGTAAGCCAGGGCCATGGAGCCCTTCAAAAGTTGCTCCCCCCAATCCCCAAAATATATTTTTCTCCCACCTGTCCCAAGTGCCTGGCATCATACCATGTGGGTCAACTGGCCATGTTTGCCATGGAAGCTCAAGAGGAGGAAGTGGGTCTTTTATTACCCGGCACAGCAGAGCTGTGGAAAGTGCACTGAGAAAGGTCAGGATGTGAACTAAAGCATTGGGAATGGGAAGGCAGAGACCTTGGATTAGCTGGGATGCTCCATGCCCTCGCTGAGTGACCTTGGACAAGCCCCTTAGACACACTGAGCCCATTTCCTTATCTCCACGACGGGCGTCCCACCTGCTACTGCACCGGGTTCTTGTGGCAATAATTGAACTCACACATGCAAACAGGCTTCAGTTCAATAATTGATCTCACAGATGCAAACAGGCTTTGTGAGCTCGATAAACACAGGTGGCATGGCCAGGTGTGGTGGCTCATGCCTGTAACCCCAGCACTTTGGGAGGCCAAGGTGGGAAGATCACTTGAGCCCAGGAGTTGGAGACCAGCCTGGACAACACGACGAAATCCTGTCTCTACCAAAAAAATTAAAAAATAAGCCAGGCATGGTGGCACACACCTGGTCCCAGCTACTTGGGAGGCTGAGGTGGGAGGATCACTTGGGCCCAAGAGGTCAAGGCTGCAGTGAGCTGAGATTTTAACACTCCAACCTGAGTGACTGAGTGAGACTGTCTAAAAAATAAAAATACACCAAAAAACAGGTAACTATTAAGCATTGCTAGGACCCGCATGCAGTGACCCTGAGGGTGCTGGGTTTCTGTTTGAGGGAGAAGAAACTCCTGAGCCCCTAGGTATTGTGGGGGACACGCAGTTCCAGACCGCCTGCACGTCCTGTATGCCTGGCCTCGTCCGCATCCCTGGCACCCATGACGATAGCCGCATTCCACTGGTGTTTCCCCAGGAAAGCCAACCCTACCTGCATCTCAGCGGAGCTTCCACAGAGTTGGAACCCCGCTCCGAGAAGGTGCGGGCTCGGGCCAGGGATCACACAAACTCCAGAAGGAGGACGTAGTTGGTTTGCAAGGCTGTGACCTGGTTGAATAACCTTTGATCTGCCCCGAGAGGAATGTGGGCATTAGGCTGCGGCCCACAGGACAGCCCTGTATTTTCTGAGAAACGTGGCCCACGGTGCAGATCTGCTCCAGCTCACTCTGGTGGGATCATGCCAACCACGACTGGACCACGGAACATCATGGCAAGGTGCTGGCCTCCTGCTACGCCGCCTGTCTAGAAGCAGACTTGATCTGAGCAGGACTGGAGTCAGCCTAGGGCATCACGTGCTCTGGTCCCCGCCTGCCTTGACTCCTCCTGCCTCACTCCCCCATGGCCCATAGTCATGTGGGTGAAGGTAGTGGGCACCGGGGCTGGGCCCAGCCCCTGACACTGCCCAGACAGACTTTCCTAAGGCACCCTTTTCCTAGCGCAGGTGCGGCCTCAGCCCACCCCTCTTCAGGCCCACAGATCACACCTCTCTGGTGTGCGGTTACCTCTTGCCTATGTTTAATTCATGGCTGGGGGGTTGGGACGAGCTTCCTGAGAAAGGAAAGAACTCCCCTGGGGTCTTGCCCAGTTCCTGCTCACCAGAAGGACCATAGCCGAGGTCCCAGCCTCCTCCCAGGGCCCAGGACTGGGGAGTGGAAGCCATCAGTGGGCTCGGAGGACACTGTCCCAGCCAGGACACAGCCGTTGGTCACTAATCCGCAGCCCTGGAATGTCCGTGGGCCAATCAGCGGGGTCTCTGGGGGCTCCCCAAGGGCGCTAATAATCCTACAATGATTAGCAGGGGCCACGGGGTCAGTGCACGCCACTCTGCCTGCTGTCGGGGGCGGGCTGGCCAGGCTGAGGCCAGAGCAGGCAGGCATCCCCCGGAGTCGTCTCTTTTCATGCCAGCGCCAACAGGAGGCTGTTTGGACACACTGATTACTCACTCACCAGCCTCCCTCTTTTGTCCACCAGCCCAGCCTGACTCCTGGAGATTGTGAATAGCTCCATCCAGCCTGAGAAACAAGCCGGGTGTTTGAGCCAGGCTGTGCTCGGAGTGCCTGACAGGCCCAACAGACCCATGCTGCATTCGGAGACCTCCCCTGGCCGGGGGCACCTCCTGGCTGTGCTCCTGGCCTTCCTTGGCACCACCTGGGCAGAGGTGTGGCTACCCCAGCTACAGGAGCAGGCTCCGATGGCCAGAGGTAAGGGACACCTGGTGAGGAGCTCGGTGGAGTGGGTGCTAGGAGACTTCTGGAAGCCTGAGCCCCAGGCCAGTCCTGCAGGTGGTTTAGTGAGGAAGCCCTGGGACAGCCTGGGGCGGTGAGGGGTGGATGCTGGACTGGTGAGGAAGGAGGAGGAAGGGGGCCAGGGCTGGGGTCAAGGAGGAATGCCCGAGGGAGTCTGTGGCTGGGGCCTGGAGAAACTCAGTGGCCCAGAGGAGCCCCAGACAGGGGCCTGCTGGGAGCCAGGGCTGGCCCCCCTACACCCAGCCCCCACCCCTGTTCCCTCCCGCCACCCCGACCCCAGCACTCAGCCCACGCCTGCTGTACCTGGTCTCTCTCTCAGCCTGGCTGCATCGCTGTGCTCCCCGTCCCCTGCACCCACCATACTCCTCTTCCATCTTGTTTTCCGAGGCCGTGCTTATTTTGCTGTGGTGGGTCCAGGTGCCCCCATCCTCGGGCTGCCTAAGAACGGAAAGAACTCCCTTCTCTCCCCACCCCAGCCCTGAACAGGAAGGAGAGTTTCTTGCTCCTTTCCCTGCACAACCGCCTGCGCAGCTGGGTCCAGCCCCCTGCGGCTGACATGCGGAGGCTGGTGAGTACCAGACCCAGCTGGGCTCTGCCAGGGGGGCGGCTGGAGGCACAGACCCCAGAGGGCAGCTCGGGAGGCTACGCCTGTCCAGGCACTCTTCCACTTGACCAGGATGGGAAGGCACAGCCAGGCACTTTGGCCCTGAGGGACCAAGGCCCTGGTTGCTGGAGGTCTCTGCAACTTCTTAACCCCCCACCCTCAGTTCAGGAGGTCGGGCCCCTTGGCTCCCACTTGCCTGAAGGGCAGGACTTTGGGCCTTCCCTGGCATCTTGTTGCCACGGAGACCAGGAGCCGCTGGAGGAGCCGTATCCCCTCCTCCAGGGAAGGACCCCTGCAGGGCGGGCGGGCCAGGGAGGGAGAGGGTCCTGCTGGGCTGGGGAGGGGCTTCTGTGCAAGGACCCAGCGCCTCCTCCTGAGCTTATCTGAGCCACTAGGACAGGCCTTGCCCATGTTCTCTGCTCACTCAGTCGTCCACATTTTCAACGGGGGCCGGGGATCGGGGGTATAGTGTTCTCCACCAGCCTGGCTGGGGCTGCTGGGTTGGGGCTGTCATCTAGGGGCTCAGAAACGCCGCCCCCCATTGTCTGGGACCCCAGCAGCCCCAGCCCATGTTAGCAGGCCAGGGAGCCAGGGCAGGGTGGTGGGGGCGGGAGGGTTCCCCATGGCTGCTTCCCATGAACTCCTCCGAGGCAGGCGGCCACGGTGGCGTCCTTGAGCACTCTAGGGTCAGTTTCCCAGGAGGTGGGGGTGGGGTGGCTAAATGGGGGAGGTCGCTTCTCTCCCTTTCCCCGCCCTGAGCGGCTCTGCCGCTCCTCAGGCTCAGACCCTGTGCCGCCAGGGCTGCTCCCATCTGTGACCTCTGTGGTGGGTACTCCTGCCTGGGACCCCAGGAGGGCGTGCGGCAGTCAATGGCTGGCAGTTGGCACCCTTTCCAGGGCCCTTTTGTCAAAGTCCTAGAAAACTTCATTTCCATAAAGGTGCAAATGGAGCTCCATGTCTCAGCCTCCCTCATGGCCCGGCCCCAAGCACCCTCCGGGCCTCTAGGGCTCTGGGGCACCCCTTCTCTGGACACAGTGGAGACTGAAGGTCTTGTGGAGGTGTGGGGTTGCTGAGGGACCCCAGGGAGCCTTCATCAGAGGTAAAACCCCAATGGACATTAGTGCAGGGCAAAGTCGGCTTGGGGTACAGCCCCGAGGGCCCCCCCACCCTGCACCCACTCAGTGCTTTTGAGTTCTATCCTACAGGCACCTCCCTGCTCCATTCACAGATGAGCTCAGGGAGTCTCGGGAGATCAGGGGTCTGCAGCAGGTCACCCAGGGGTGGCGACTGCCAGGCCCCTTGTTTAAGAAGAGGGAGGGGGCTGGGCGCGGTGGCTGACACCTGTAATCCCAGCACTTTGGGAGGCTGACGCAAGCAGATCACCTAAGGTCAGCAGTTTGAGACCAGCATGGCCAACGTGGTGAAACCCTGTCTCTACTAAAAATACAAAAATTAGCCAGATATGGTGTCACATGGCTCTAATCCCAGCTACTTGGGAGGCTGAGGCAGGAGAATCGCTTGAACCTGGGAGGCGGAGTTTGCAGTAAGCCGAGATTGCTCCACTGCACTCCAGACTGGGCAACAGGGTGAGACTCTGTCTTAAAAAAAAGAAGAAGAGGGAGGGGGCAGGGTCAGCTGTGCGTGGTAGGGAGCCGATGAGGCGGGTACGGGGACAGGAGACCAGGGCGGAGAGGCGTGGCTGTAGGGCGTTTTGCATCACAGGAGGGCAGCATGGCCCGGTGGGAGTAGGGGAGCCTTTCTGACAACGGCCAGGGCGGAAACACAGAACCAGTCTGTAAGGCGTGGGCACTGCTCACATGACCAGATGGGAGAAAGACAGCAGGAGCCCATCCCACTGCCTGGGCAGGGCTGAAGGATGCCCACAACAGGATTCAGAGATGGAGGCTCAGTCCTGAGAGGCCGGGCTCCTCCTGGACGAGCATCAGACAACACCACTGCTTCCTCCAGCAGGACTCCTCATCCAGTGCTCTCTTTGCCTCCTGACCTGGCACCCGGTGGATGCTCAGAGATGGTAGGGGAGGCCTGGCCCAGCAGTCAAGGCCTCCCACAGATGTCTCTGTTTGTGCTTCCCCCAGGACTGGAGTGACAGCCTGGCCCAACTGGCTCAAGCCAGGGCAGCCCTCTGTGGAACCCCAACCCCGAGCCTGGCGTCCGCCCCGTGGCGCACCTTGCAAGTGGGCTGGAACGTGCAGCTGCTGCCCGCGGGCTCAGCGTCCTTTGTCAAAGTGGTCAGCCTGTGGTTTGCAGAGGGGCAGCGGTACAGCCACGCGGCAGGGGAGTGTGCCCGCAATGCCACCTGCACCCACTACACACAGGTGAGTGTGTTGCAGTGAGGCCAGCGTGCCAGTTCCCAGATACAGGCTCCGGCTGGGCCATCTCAGAAGAGGCTAGTTTGACCTAAATGTTGGGATTCCTTTTCCTCCAATTTGTTTAGTTTTACTTTTTTTTTTTTTTGAGACAGAGTCTTGCTCTGTCGCCCAGGCTACAGTGCAACGGTGCAATCTCGGCTCACTGCAACCTCCGCCTCCTGGGTTCAAGTGATTCTTGTGCTTCAGCCTCCTGAGTAGCTGGGATTACAGGCGCGCACAACCACGCCCGGCTAATTTTTTGTATTTTTAGTAGAGATGGGGTTTCACTGTGTTAGCCAGTATGGTCTCGATCTCCTGACCTCGTGATCCACCCGCCTCAACCTCCCAAAGTGCTGGGATTACAGGCTTGAGCCACTGTGCCTGGCCATATTTTTGCTTTTTTGGAGACACGGTCTCACTCTGTCACCACAGGCTGGAGTGCAGTGGCATGATCTCAGCTCACTGCAACCTCTGTCTCCTAGATTCAAGCGATTCTTGTGCCTCAGCCTCCCGAGTAGCTGGGATTACAGGTACGCGCCACTACACCCAGCTCATTTTTTTTTGTATTTTTAGTAGAGATGGGGTTTCACCATGTTGGCCAGGCTGATCTCGAACTCCAGACCTCAAATGATCTGCCCGCCTCAGCCTCCCAAAGTGCTGGAATTATAGGCGTGAGCCACTACGCCTGGCCTAAGCCACTTTTTTTCAATCTGAAATATGAATAATTTCAAACATAAACTTATTTATTTATTTATTTATTTATTTGAGACGAAGTCTTGTTCTGTCACCCAGAATGGAGTGGAATGGCGTGATCGCAGCTCACTAGAACCTACACCTCCCAGATTCAAGTGATTCTTCTGCCTCAGCCTCCCAAGTAGCTGGGACTACAGGCATGAGCCACCACACCCGGCTAATTTTTGTATTTTTAGTAGAGATGGGGTTTCACCATGTTGGCCAGGCTGGGTCTCAAACCCCTGACCTCAAGTGATCCACCTGCCTGGGCCTCCCAAAGTGCTGGGATTACACGTGTGAGCCACTGTGCCTGGCCTCAAACATAAATTTAAAATGGCCCCACTCTTACCTACTACCTAGGTTTAGAAGATGCTACTAAACTAAAGCCCCGCTCCTCCCCTTTCCCTGCTGTCCCTCCCTGGAGGGAATCTTCTTGAAGTTCAGGAGCATCACTGCCAAGCAAGTTTCCATTTTTTCTCTTCATTCAACAGACATTTGTTGAGGATTTTCTATACACACCTGGCACTGTTCAGGTGCTAAGGTATGGCACTGAAAAACACAAGCGAAATCCCAGGAAATATTGAATACCTCTACTACTTATGCAAGTGTGTTGTGCATGTTTTAAGTATTACATAAGGCTGGGCGTGGTGGCTCACGCCTGTAATCCCAGCACTTTGGGAGGCCAAGGTGGGAGGATTGCCTGAGCCCAGGAGTTTGAGACCAGCCTGGGCCACATGGCAAAAACCTGCCTCTACAAAAAATACAAAAATTACCCGGGTGTGATGGTGTGTGCCTGTAGTTCCAGTTACTTGGGAGGCTGAGGTAGGAGAATTGCTTGAGCCTGGGAGGTGAAGATTGCACTGAGCTGAGATTGTACCATTGCACTCCAGCCTGGCCAGCAGGAGTAAAACCCTGTCTCAGAAAAAAAAGAACATGTGCCTACAACTAGGTGTTGCCAAAGTGATTACACCAACTGGAGAGACCAGCAAACAAGTTTTCACTCCCCAAAGATCTTGTGGCTCTTTAATTTTTTTTTTTTTTTTGAGACGGAGTCTTGCTCTGTCGCCCAGACTGGAGTGCAGTGGTGCGATCTTAGCTCACTGCAAGCTCCGCCCCCCAGGTTCACACCATTCTCCTGCCTCAGCCTCCCAAGTAACTGGGACTACAGGCACCCACCACCACGCCTGGCTAATTTTTTGTATTTTTTAGTGGAGACGTGGTTTCACCGTGTTAGCCAGGATGGTCTCGATCGCTTGACCTCATGATCTGCCCACCTCGGCCTCCCAGAGTGCTGGGATTACAGGCGTGAGCCACTGCGCCCAGCCCTGGCTCCTTAAGTTTTGTCAGACTCAAAGGTGTGAAAAACCTAACCCTGTTTTCTTGTTGTTAGTTGTTTTTTGTTTATTTTGTTTTTGTTGGGTTTTTTTGAGTCAGAGTCTCGCTCTATCATCCAGGCTGGAGTGCAGTGGCATGATCTCGGCTCACTACAACCTCCTCCTCCTGGGTTCAAGAGATTCTCCTGTGTCAGCCTCCTGAGTATCTGGGATTACAGGCGCCCACCACCACACCTGGCTAATTTTTGTATTTTTAGTGGAGACGGGGTTTTGCCATGTTGGCCAGGCTGGTCTCAAACTCCTTACCTCAGGTAATCCACCCACCTCGGCCTCCCAAACTGTTGGGATTACAGGCATGAGCCACCGTGCCCGGCCTCTATTATTGTTTCTAATTTTCTTGATATGAATGTTTAGATCATTAATTTTAAATCTTTTTTGTTTCTACTATATACATTTAAAGCTATAAATTTCCCTTTAAACGATTTCAGCTACATCCAATAAGTTTTGATATTTAATGTTTTCATTATTATTTAGGGATGTTTTTTCTATTTCCAATCATGATATTGTCTTTGTTTGTTTTGAGACAGGGTCTGGCTCCGTCGCCCAGGCTGGAGTGCAGTGGTGCAATCTCAGCTCACTGCAGCCTCAACTTCCTGGGCTAAGGTGATCTTCCCACCTCAGGTCCAAAGTAGATGGGAATACAGGTGTATGCCACCATGCCTGGCTAATTTCTTGTATTTGTATTAGAGAAGGGGTTTTGCCATGTTGACCAGGCTGATCTGGAACTTCTGAACTCACATGATCCACCCAACTCAGCCTCCCAAAGTGCTGGGATTACAGATGTGAACCACCACACCTAGCCATGATGTTGTTTTAGATTTTGAAGTGTATCTTTAAGTTTCTGAACTATGTTATCTTCTTAATTTACTTGTAAATTATTCAGTTTAAATTTCATTGCACTGAATTCATAGAATGTGGCCTGTAGGATGTGTTGATTCTTTGGTATTTGTTGAAACTTGCGTAGTGGTCTAATGTGTGGTCTTGCTTTGTGGTTTGCAGAAGTCCCATGCATTCCGAAAAACAATACATGTTCTTTAAGTGTTGGATACATGTATATGATCACATGTTCACATCTGGCTGCTACAAGCCAGTCTTGTACATGTAATTTTTAGTCTCTACTGGAGAGTTTGTTTCACTTTTCTTATATATTGGCCATTTGTGCTATTTCCAAGTTGTCGCTGATTCTAAGACTTTAAACTGGTTTGCAGAGCTGTATCCATTAGCTTTTGCTGCATGACATTCTACCCCAAAATTTAGCAGCTTACGATTCTGCATGTCAGCCACTTGGGTTGGGCTCAGCAGGGAGGTTTTCTGGTCTTGGCTGGGCCCACTCATATCCCTGCAATCAACTAGGGGGCTGGCTGGGAGCTGGCTGTGCAAAAAGGCCTCTAGTGGTTCATCTGTATTCCATGAGGCCTTTCAACCTCCACCAGGCTTTACTGAGCTTGTTCATGTGGTGGCTGAGCATGGTTCTATGAGAATGAGTGGAAATGGCAAGGTCTCTTAAGGGCAAGTTCAAAATCAGCTCAATGTCACTTCTGCTGCATTCTGGTGGCCAACACCAGTTACAGGGCCAGCCAGATTCAAGGAGCAAGGAAAGAGACACCTCTCCTTACTGCAAAAAGCTGCAGAGTCACATTTAAAAGAGTGGGCTAGTGCAAGAAGTGAAGGGTTGTGGTCATAATGCAGTCACAAGGCCCTTGATGTCCCAGTCTTTTTTTGGCTAGTCCCCTCCACCCATCAACGATCTCCCCTCCCTTCAGGTATCTGCTAGCCCTCCCCTCTCCATTCCCCTCTCAACTAAGAAAGCCTTCCTAGGCCAGGCATGGTGGCTCACACCTATAATCCCAGCATTTTGAGAGGCTGAGGCAGGCGGATCACCCGAGGTTGGGAGTTCAAGACCAGTCCAACATGGAGAAACCCCATCTCTACTAAAAATACAAAAAAAAAAATTAGCCAGGCGTGGTGGCAGTCACCTGTAATCCCAGCTACTTGGGAGGTTGAAACAAGAGAATCGCATGAACCCAGGAGGTGGAGGTTTTGGTGAGCCGAGATTGTGCCATTGCACTGCAGCCTGGGCAACAAGAGTGAAACTCCATCTCAAAAATAAAAAAATTAAAAAAAATTAAAAAGCCTTCCTGGACTATTCCTACCCATACTTCTACCCCTGCCCAGGACAGCTGCTGCTCCTGAGCCCCCGAGGAGGTGAGGGAGCCCTCTGTCCGCCTGGATGATAGTGAAAGCTGTGTTCCCCTCCCCAGGAGTTCACGATAGGGTCTCTGATCCCCTGTGTCTCCTGTAGCTCGTGTGGGCCACCTCAAGCCAGCTGGGCTGTGGGCGGCACCTGTGCTCTGCAGACCAGGCAGCGATAGAAGCCTTTGTCTGTGCCTACTCCCCCGGGTAAGCCCTGCTACACCCTCTGCTGGGATGTCTGGGAGGCAGGGAGGGGCGCTTTCACTGAGGGTGAGATGCCCCCCCATCCACCTGAAAGTAAAGTCCGACACCTTCCTCTGCACCCTTGATGGGAGAAGGGAGGAGAGGAAAGGCAGAGGGTGCTGAAGATTGTGGCCATGCAGAAGGTACTGCTCTGTGGATGCCCCTTCCTGGGTACCAGTCCTGGTATCAGGGAGTTTGTCCAGGATTCATTTGGAGGTCATCTCTTCTCTCCCAGGGAATCTCTCTATCTCACCCAGCTCCCTAACTCTCTGGCCAGGCCGCAGGAACTGTAGGGGCCAGGGGGGCAGGCAGCAGGGACCCACCACTGCCTTGCCCAAGGCCAGGCCCTCCCACACCCTGTGGTGCCTGCTCGTCCTCACAGAGGCAACTGGGAGGTCAACGGAAAGACAATCGTCCCCTATAAGAAGGGCGCCTGGTGTTCGCTCTGCACAGCCAGCGTCTCGGGCTGCTTCAAAGCCTGGGACCATGCAGGGGGGCTCTGTGGTGAGTGCATGAGGGCTCGGTCTGGTGACCCTGGGGTAGGGGTGGCAGCATCCTACTGGGCTGTCCCGGAAGCCCCGACCCTCAGCACCCAGGGAGGCTCCTGCCCGGCCTGCTGGGAGGAGACCCTTTTCTCGGAGTCCCCTCCTCCTCTGACCAGAGGTCCCCAGGAACCCTTGTCGCATGAGCTGCCAGAACCACGGACGTCTCAACATCAGCACCTGCCACTGCCACTGTCCACCTGGCTACACGGGCAGGTACTGCCAAGGTGAGGGCACTGGAACCTGGGTGTGCCCAGCGCTGCTCTCGCGGCGGGTCCTGGGGCTGCTACACTTCCTGAGTCTCAAGGGTGTTAGGGGTGCTGACCGTGTACTCCCTGAGTCTGCCCACTGCATAGCACTGGCTATTTGCCAGACCCTGAGCTGTGCAGGAGATTCACAGTGAAATCAGGTTCAGCCCCTTAGGCTTTGGGAGGAGGACAGAATTAGGATCCAGAAGTGGCTTCTTGCCCCACTGCCCCTCAACCCTAACCGACTCTGTGACTATGGGCAGGTCACCTCCCAAACTCCGATATGCCTCACTCTACAGTGGGAACCAAACCAAAGACACCAGGCATGCCAGCAGTCAGAAGCCTTCGTGGGTTCTGTCTCTGGGAGGGGTATTCTTGCTGTGGTTGGCATTCCCTGGATGTTCGAGGCCTTTGGGGGCAGCATGGGGTCCAGAAGGCTGGGAGCTGAGCCTCTGCCCCACTGCCCTGCCCTGGCAGTGCGGTGCAGCCTGCAGTGTGTGCACGGCCGGTTTCGGGAGGAGGAGTGCTCGTGCGTCTGTGACGTCGGCTACGGGGGAGCCCAGTGTGCCAGTGAGTCCTGCCCCAGGGCCCCCAAAGAGCCAGCCCCTCCCAAGACCCCCTTCAATGGGGCGTCAGCTCCCAGGAGCCCACTGTGTACCTCTCTTTCCAACTAATTCGGTGACAACACGTTGAGAGCTTGAAACCAGCCACAGCGTGGATATTTACACCAAAGAAATTGGCAAATGCTACAAATCATGGATTTTTTTTTTTCTTTTGAGAGAGAGCAAGCTCAGTGTTCCACACTTACCAGCACACTCCTGACCGTCACCACCCACTCTTTTGGAGCAGGTGGCTGGAGGAAGGGGCTTAGCTCCCTGGCAGGGCAGGAAAGGGCAGGGATTCTGAAGTCCGCACACAAACTCAGGCTCCCCTACCCCAGCAAAGGTGCATTTTCCCTTCCACACCTGTGACCTGAGGATCGACGGAGACTGCTTCATGGTGTCTTCAGAGGCAGACACCTATTACAGAGCCAGGATGAAATGCCAGGTGACGGTCACCCCTACCTTCCCAGGGACCCCCCCAGGGCCTCAAGTGAGGGTCTTAATGGAGGGACCCTGGAGTGAGAGATGGTTTCTTCAATGCCTCTGACCTCACCCTGTTCATCAGCAGAAAGCAGGGGTCATGGACTCTGAGGCTCATAGAAGCCAGGAGGTCACTTATTGACCTGAGGGGCCAAGGTCAAGGCCAACCTCCATCTAAGGGAGTTTCAGGTTGCCTTGCAGGAGGGAATGCAAGATCAGAGTGGCCAGAGCTTGGGGCTGCTCAATAAAACCAGCAGCTCAGACTTCCACTGGCAGCTCTCGAAACCACAATTAATTTCTGGGGTTGGCAATCAACTCAGATATGTTGAAGACACTGTGCAGGTGAAACAGAACATCCTCAGGGGCCAGACCTTGCCCGGGCCTGTGGGCTGCCGGTCGGGCCGCTGTGCACAGGGAGAAGAGAAGCAGATGTGAGCAGAGGGGACTCCTCTTGGAAGGGAGGCTGTGCGGGCTGGGGGTGATGACAGCCTGGCCAGCACACACGTGACATCCTCGCCCATGGGCAGGGGTGGCAGGAAGGGGCAGCCTTCCTGGGAGCTCTGCCTGTGTGACCTGGGGTGGGGTTACAGAGGAAAGGTGGGGTGCTGGCCCAGATCCAGAGCCAGAAAGTGCAGGACATCCTCGCCTTCTACCTGGGCCGCCTGGAGACCACCAACAAGGTGACTGACAGTGACTTCGAGACCAGGAACTTCTGGATCGGTGAGTGCCCGGCTGATTGGGGGTGTGGCGAGTAAGGGGTTGTGATGCCCCACCCTGCTGCAGAAACCCTGGGCTGTGGCAGCTGCCAGCAGATGGCGAGGGTGTGGTAAGGGCCTGGAGCCCAGAGCGGGGCCGGCTGCTCACCCCCTTTCCTGGGGAGGGCCCAGGTAGGGAGCACATGGGGGCTGCCAGCACTGGGAGGAGGGGCCAGAAAAGCAGCTGGCAGCAGACTCCAGGGTCTGAGTGGGCCGGGGGACCTCTGGCCGTGGGCCAACCTCGACTATCCCGGCCCAGGGCTCACCTATAAGACCGCCAAGGACTCCTTCCGCTGGGCCACAGGGGAGCACCAGGCCTTCACCAGTTTTGCCTTTGGGCAGCCTGACAACCAAGGGTGAGTGTGGGGTGCCTCCCTCCCCTGGGCCTCCCTCTCACTCGGGCCTGCCTGGCAGAGCCCCCAGGCCACACTGAAGAGCCGCCCCCCATCCTGCTGCCTGGCTGGGCCCTGGCTGGTGCCTGCCCAGGTGCCAGAGAGTTGTGGGCACAGCTGGTGTGGGCCAGTGCTGTGGTGAGGGAGATGCAAGCCGGAAGGCATGTCACGTGGGAGAGAGGGGCCCAGGAAGCCTCCATCCATCTGTCCATCCCCAGTGTCCCCTGGCTGTGACTCCATCCCTCCAACTCTCATCCACTCACCCCTCCCTCCACGTGCCCTCTGCCTGCATCAGTTACACTGACGCCAGCATTCCTTAGCTGTCACCCCCGCTGCAGTCATTCACAATACAACCCCGAACCTGTGGACCCACCAGCCATGCTGTACCAAGAACCCTCTGGTCATGTGGCCCCACCCTGCTCTTCAAAGCCCAGGAATGCCCAGGGCCGGGGTGGAGGTGGTCCTGCGGCCAGGCCACCAAGGGCTCCAGTGATTTTAGCCAGCCCTCCTTGCCAGCAGCCGGCCTGTGCCCCTGGCCTGTTGCCTGGAGGTAGTCGGCCTTGTTGGGTTCCCAGGTATACCTCTCAAGTGGGCTGTCTATTCCAGTCCACACCGTCCCCACAGGCTGGTGTGGCTGCGTGCTGCCATGGGGTAGGCAGAGCTGCTACCCCAGGAAGGGGCTTCCCTGAGAAGTGGTCTGGGAAGCAGGGATGGGGGCTCGGGGATGGGCCTGGTTCCCAGCAGCCCCATCTGCAGATGGGGGCTCTGGAGCCCCTGAGATGCAGGGTCCTGATGGTTGGAGGGTTTAGGCCTCTCGCGGATCCCTGACTTCACTCTTCCCTCCTGAGCACCACACCCTGGCCTGCAGGTTTGGCAACTGCGTGGAGCTGCAGGCATCAGCTGCCTTCAACTGGAACGACCGGCGCTGCAAAACCCGAAACCGTTACATCTGCCAGTTTGGTGAGGGCCTTCCTGAGGGTCCCCTTCTCTGATCCCTGTCCCTGGGGGTGCTGCTGACCCGGTCCAGCCTGCAAGGGTATCTAGGTGGCAGGTTCACAGCAAGTCTGGGCACACGGGGCCATGGAGGATGCCCTGCTCAGGGCCTTGTACCTGTGGGCTCCTGAGCCCAGAGGGGCAACGACAGGCCCAGTGTCACACAGCAAGGCCACACAGGCAGGCCTAGAGCTGCAGCTCTGCAGGGAATTTCTCCAAGGACCCTCTCCTCCTGTCATGAAAGCTACTGCCTGGGAACCTGTTGGGTTCCTCGGTGTTCCTGGGAGCCCCATGAGCTATGATGGAGGCAGAGGTGAAACCTGGCATGGCACCAGCTCCCAGCAGCCCCTGCTAGGAAGGTCGGGAGCATCACAGGAAACACGGCCATAGGCACTTCCAGACTGAGCGCAGCAGGGCCCCCATTTTGGGACTGCCTGGGCTGCCATCGAGCCCTGCTCTCTGCTGCTTCCTTCCAGCCCAGGAGCACATCTCCCGGTGGGGTCCAGGGTCCTGAGGCCTGGCCGCACGGCTCCCTCGCCTGCCCTGGGTGCACCGGCTCTGCTTACCTGTCTGCCCACCTGTCTGGAACAAGGGCCAGGTGAAGACCACATGCCTCACGTCCAAAGAGGTCTTAGAGCTTGCACTCTGCCGGAAGTTGGGCAGAGAGAGGCAGGGAGGCCAGTGAGGGCCAGGGAGTGAGTCTTAGACACTGACGGAGAAGACGCCGCCAGGGGTCCCAAGAAGCTGCTCTCTTCTACCTGGCCCAGGCCCTGTGGGGCAGCGGAGCTTCCCTGTGGCGTGAACCCCACAGGGTATTAAACTAAGTTATGAATCAGCTGAACCTGTGCATGCTTATTTCAAAGGGAAATTCAGATTATCCAGGACGACCCTGGAGAGACCAGAGGGGGCCTGAGGCTTCACTGCAGAGGCCTCCACCCACCTATTCCCTTTCCTGGTCGTCTTCATGGTCCAGGACACTCTCTGGAAGTTCTGGGGCTCCCCAAGAAGAGGAAGACCAGACTCTGCCTCGGGGAGGGGCAGTTCTCATGGCTGGGCCCAGGCAGGCAGGGTATTAATAGAAGCTGCTCTGGATGTCTGGGAGACCACGCGTGTGTCTTGCCCCCACTGGCAGAGTGTCATCGCACCTGGACCGATGGTGGTCGGAATCTGTGCAGTCCCGCTCCCTCACCCAGCTCCTCAAACCTCACCGCACAAGAGGTTATCACTATTCCAGTTTACAGCTGAAGAATTGAAGGCACAGAGAGTTTGACTTGCACAGGATCACACAGCTGGGAGTCAAACCCAGTGAATCTGGCTGTTGTTTATTTATTTATTTTTCTTTTTTGAGACAGGGTCTCGCTCTGTCGCCCAGGCTGGAGTGCAGGGGTGCAATCAGGGTTCACTGCAGCCTCGACCTCCCAGGCTCAAGCGATCCTCCTGCCTCAGCCTCCCAAGTAGCTGGGACCACAGGTCCACACTGCCGCGCCACACTAATTTTTGTGTTTTTTGTAGAGACGGGGTGGCACCATGTTGCTCAGGCTGGTCTCGAACTCCTGGGCTCAAGCGATCCGCCATCGTGGGCCTCCCAAAGCGCTGGGGTTCCAGGCGCACGGCCCCGCGCCGGCCCAGTCTTTCCCTCTCCCACTGCCTCCCAGGGCTTCGCCTGTCTAAGTGGGCGCGGGCAGCTGTGCTGCGTCCCGACTCAGCGCGGACCTAAGCGGGGCGATCACACAGATGCCTCCCGCTCTCTCTACCGCCCCCGAAGGCGCTCAGCCCTCGGGGCCGGGACCGCGGCCGCAGCGTCCGGAGAGGCCGCCCTGCGCATGCCCGCGGGAGGTGGGTGGCCCGGGCGCGCGCTGCCCGAGGCCTGGGGACGGTGGGGGCAGCACGGGCTGGGCGGCCGAACCGCGACCTTCGCACCCCGCCCCACGCCTGGTTGGGGACCGGACGCACCGTCGTGAGTGGGGCGGGTGCAGGTGTCCCTGGGGGCCGGGGCAGACACCGGTGCGGGACGACCTGTTCCCGAGGGGGTCCGCAGGCCACACCCAGAGAAACGGGGGCGCCTCCAGTCATCGCCGCGGTCCGCCCCATTCCGAAGCTTTGACCCCCTGAATCAGCGTCGGGGCAGGGATCCGCGTGCAGTGCGAGAGGCTGGGAAACTGGGGAGTCCCGGGCCGCCTCTGGAGCCGCCCGCCCTTGGCTGGCTGGTCCTCCTCTTGCGCGGCTCCCGCCTGGCTGGGCCCTGGGCCGCCCTCACTCCCTCCCCGCTGCACCTCCCTCGCGTTTGTCACTCACTCTGCTAGGCTCTCCTGCCTCCTCATGCCCAAGGATCCGGAGGAAAACACGGACCATGACATCAAAAGGCCTTGGCAAAGGAATCATGATTATCGTGATACAGGAAGATTCTGCACCTCAAAGGGGATCCCTGTAGTGAGTTTTGGAAAACGTACAAAGCCTGACTTACAATACGTTTGTGTCTGTGGTGTTTCATCTGGGAACTTACTTTTCCTTGATAGGGTAAGCTCTTCTCACCCAGAGTATGTCCCTCAGTCTGTAAAATTCCATGGTGCCCTACATCTATTAGGGGAGTGAGGAAGGGCAGTGGGCATTGGATCTGCTTCTTAGAAAGCCCCCACCTGTGTTTAGCTTCTGTCAGAGGCCTTTGCACAAGAGCAACTCCATCTTGAGTAGGCGCTGAGTAAAATGAGACTGAGACCTATTGGGCTGCGTTCCCAGACGGTTGAGGCATTTCTAAGTCACAGGATGAGATGGGAGGTTGGCAGTAAAACAGTAAAGAAGCCGGCCAAAACCAACCAAAACCAAGATGCCGATGAGAATGACCTCTGGACATCCTCACTGCTACACTCCCACCAGCGCCATGACCGCTTACAATGCTGTGGCGACGCCAGAATGTTACCCTATATGGTCAAAAAGGGGAGGCAATGAATAATCCACCCCTTGTTTAGCATATCATCAAGAAATAACCATAAACATGAGCAACCAGCAGCCCTCGAGGCTGCTTTGTGGTAGTAGCCATTGTTTTATTTCTTTACTTAGGCTGGAGTGCACTGGCACGATCTCAGCTCACTGCAAGCTCCGCCTCTCTGGTTCACCCCATTCTCCTGCCTCAGCCTCCCCAGTAGCTGGGACTACAGGCGCCCGCCACCACGCCCGGCTAATTTTTTGTGTTTTTATACAAATGTGGACATGGGGTTTCACCGTGTTAGCCAGGACGGTCTCTGTCTCCTGACCTTGTGATCCACCTGCCTGGGCCTCCCAAAGTGCTGGGATTACAGGCATGAGCCACCCCGCCCAGCCCTATTCCTTTACTTTTTTTTTTGTTTGTTTTTTGAGGTGGAGTCTCACACCTGGCCTCCAATATGTTTATTTGTATTGCTGAGGCAGGGGATTGCTTGAGCCCAAGAGTTTGAGGTTGCAGTGAACCATGATCATAAGCTGTATTTCAGCCTGAGAGAGAGATTGAGACCTTGTCTCACAAAATAAAAGTTAAAAAGTCCTTATCTGGAGGTGAAAAAAACGAGTACAAAGATCTAAGTTGGTTCCTAGTCCAGCAGTGTCAGCATCACCAGAGAGCTTGTTAGGCAAATTCTAGGCTGCCCCAACCTACTGAATTGTAGACCCTGAAGAGGGGCTATCTGAATTTTAACAAGGCCTCCCGGTTTGCATGCTCAAGATTGAAAACCACTGGCAAAAGCAAACAATTTTGAGTCTGAAGTCAGCCCACTTGGATTTGAATACAGGCCCTGCTGCTTAATAACTGATTTAGAGCAAATTAGTTACTTAACAGCTAGGTTGACCAGTTGTCCGAGTTTGCCTGGCACTGTCCTGAATTCAGCATTGAAAGTACTACATTAGACTGGGAGCAGTGGCTCACGCCTGTAATCCCAACACTTTGGGAGGCTGAGGCAGGTGGATCACGAGGTCAGGAGATCGAGACCATCCCGGCTAATACGGTGAAACCCCGTCTCTACTAAAAAAATACAAAAAAATTAGCCGGGCGTGGTGGTGGGCGCCTGTAGTCCCAGCTGCTGGGGAGGCTGAGGCAGGAGAATGGTGTGAATCCGGGAGGCAGAGCTTGCAGTGAGCCAAGATTGTGCCAGTGCACTCCAGCCTGGGAGACACAGCGAGACTCCATCTCAAAAAAAAAAGAAAGTACTACATTAATGCGGTGGCTCACGCCTGGAATCCCAGCTTCTCAAGCTGTCCCTGTGGAATCCTCAATATCAGTACATTCATCCTTTTCTAACATCCCCTTCCTCCCTCGCCCGTCCTGCACCCTCAGAATTCATTCTCAGATCAGCTTCCCAGATTTTTGCCAATATCAATTAAAAAAAATTTTTAGCCAACCATATACTGTAAGCCAATATCAATTAGCAAAATCTTTTGTTTCTTTTGGTGATTCAGTATCTTGTCCCTGGAGTTTTTTGATGATTCAGTACCCTCCTAGATTTGCGGGGATCTGACTTGTTATTTAATTCTGGAGAAAATGAGGGGTGGGGCTTATAAGGAGACTCCTTTGCTCATTTGCGGCAGGGTCATTACAAGGTGTGTTACATAGGGAAATTCTAGCTGCTGGCTAGCTCTTGCTCATGAAAGGCTCTTCCTCTCTCAAGTGAAATGGGGAAGGGGGAACCCAGGCCGACTGAGGTCCTGACATCTTTAGCACCTGGCTTCTCAGGTCACCCAGGGCATCCAGGTGACCAGTTTGGGAAGCAGGAGATGTAGGCTGGAGGAAGAGGATACAGTCCACCCTGGAAATAACTGCCATCCTTCCCACCGATATGGTTACGCTTTGTTTCCCTACCCAGATCTCATCTCAAATTATAATCCCCACGTGTCAAGGGATGGACCAGGTGGAGGTACTTGCATCATGGGGGCAGTTTCCCCCATGCTGTTCTCGTGACAGTGAGTTCTCACGAGATTGATGGTTTTAAAGCATGGCAGTTCCTCATTCTCACGCTCACGCCCTCCTGACTGCCTGGTGGAGGAGGTTTCAGCTTCTCCTTCATCCGTGGTTGTAAGTTTTCTGAAGCCTCCCCAGCCGTGCGGAACTGTGAGTCAATTAAACCTCTTTACTTTATAAATTGCCCAGCCTTGGGTTTGTTTTTTTGTTTTTTTTGAGATGGAGATTTGCTCTTGTTGCCCAGGTTGGAGTGCAGTGGTGGGATCTCGGCTCATTGCAACCTCCGCCTCCTGGGTTCAAGCGGTTCTCCTGCCTCAGCCTCCCGAGTAGCTGGGATTACAGGTGTGCACCACCCTGCCCAGCTAATCTTGTATTTTTAGTAGAGAGGGGGGTTTCACTATGTTGGTCAGGCTGGTCTTGAACTCCTGACCTCAGGTGATCTGCCCACCTCGGCCTCCCAAAGTGCTGGGATTACAGGCATGAGCCACCGTGCCCAACCTTGGATGTTTCTTTATAGCTGTGTGGAAACAGACCCACTCATCGCTGCAGGCCACACCTCAGCCACGTAGACACCTAATTCCTGCCAGGGAGTTTCTGCCGCTAGGATCTTCAGAGTGACAAAGAGGGAGGATGCTTTGGTTGGCAAGGGTGGCTGAAGAGGGGACAGGGGGTGCTAGGTACCTAAGGCTCCCCTATCTTTCCATACAGCCTAATTTTAATAGCCTCTGGTCTGCACACTTCACTGTTTACCAGATAAAGACCTTTCAAGGTGTAGGTCCCCTTGGTCATTCTGTATCCATTGGATCAAGTTTTCAGTTCATTTTTTTCTGTTCTCTCAGCCTTTTTTGCTTTCTCAGCTGCAAAATATTGGTACAATCAAGTTTTCTTTTTCTTTTCTTTTTTTTTTTTTGTGGGGC